ATTGAGGTAAACCAGTTGTTTAGTTGATTTGTTGGCTGTAGTTTACTGAGTAATTGTTGCAGAGTCGTAGGTTGTGTAGTAGTTGATGATCAAACAGTAGAGTTGTAAATTGGTTGATTGGAAGAGTGTTAGACTGTCTTAGATTTACAACCCTGTAGATGGTGTATAGCAGACTGGTCGACTGTCCTAGATTTACAACCCTGTAGATGTGGTATAGCAGACTGGTCGACTGTCCTAGATTTACAACCCTGTAGATGTGGTATAGCAGACTGGTCGACTGTCCTAGATTTACAACCCTGTAGATGTGGTATAGCAGACTGGTCGACTGTCCTAGATTTACAACCCTGTAGATGTGGTATAGCAGACTGGTCGACTGTCCTAGATTTACAACCCTGTAGATGGTGTATAGCAGACTGGTCGACTGTCCTAGATTTACAACCCTGTAGATGGTGTATAGCAGACTGGTCGACTGTCCTAGATTTACAACCCTGTAGATGGTGTATAGCAGACTGGTCGACTGTCCTAGATTTACAACCCTGTAGATGGTGTATAGCAGACTGGTCGACTGTCCTAGATTTACAACCCTGTAGATGGTGTATAGCAGACTGGTCGACTGTCCTAGATTTACAACCCTGTAGATGTGGTATAGCAGACTGGTCGACTGTCTTAGATTTACAACCCTGTAGATGTGGTATAGCAGACTGGTCGACTGTCTTAGATTTACAACCCTGTAGATGATGTATAGCAGACTGGTCGACTGTCCTAGATTTACAACCCTGTAGATGATGTATAGCAGACTGGTCGACTGTCCTAGATTTACAACCCTGTAGATGATGTATAGCAGACTGGTCGACTGTCCTAGATTTACAACCCTGTAGATGATGTATAGCAGACTGGTCGACTGTCTTAGATTTACGAACTAGTAAATAATATTGGCCGACTGTGTTATTGAAACTTTGTTAAATTTTCTTCATCTACATTTTCCTTAAAGCCTTGTAGAGTAGTTTGTAGTTCTAACATTAACTTGCGTTAAATATTAACATCCAGTAGTGCAATAAATTATTTAGATAGCATTATTTCCAACAGTAAATGTTACTTAACAATACTAATGCTGCATAACTGCTACTTATGGTTACTTTAACGACTTCACTAAAGTTATTGTTGGCTCCATACCTCAATCCCCGACCGTCCAAGTGGTTGGGCACCATTCCTTTCCCCCGTCCCATCCCAAATCCTTATCCTGACCCCTTCCCAAGTGATATATAGTCGTAATGGCTTAGCGTTTTCCCCTGACAAGTCCCTCCCTCCCTTCATACCTTAAATATATCCTCTAAATACCGGTGTGACGACATTTCGGTCCGGCCCTACTTGGTAAGGGTTTAACACAGACCAAAACGTCGCCACTTCCGTTTTCTATGTGTGTTTGGGGGGGGGGGACGTGTAGAGATGTGTGTTTCAGTCAGGGGCCAGATTCACGAAGCAGTTACGCAAGCACTTACGAACCTGGGGCCAGATTCACGAAGCAGTTACGCAAGCACTTACGAACGTGTACATCTTTCCTCAATCTTTGACGGCTTTGGTTACATTTATTAAACCATTTACAAGCATGAAAACTTGCCAATCAACTGTTGTTATTGTTATAAACAGCCTCCTGGTGCTTCGGAGCTCATTAACTGTTTAATAATTGTAAACCAAGCCTCCAAAGATTGAGAAAATTTGGACAGGTTCGTAAGTGCTTGCGTAACTGCTTAGTGAATCTGGCCCCAGGTTCGTAAGTGCTTGCGTAACTGCTTCGTGAATCTGGCCCCAGGTTCGTAAGTGCTTGCGTAACTGCTTCGTGAATCTGGCCCCTGGTTCCCTGAGTGTAACGCTGAATCTTCAATCTAATTGGCTCTGGCAACTTATGTTCAATAGCCTATCCAATGAGATTTGATCATTTGTTGTGTTTCGCTGCTGATGGGATTAGATTGTCACATGACTTCATGTCGAGTCTCCGGCATGTGTTCTGACTCCACCCTGGCGAGATGCTGTAACACTGGGTGTGTCACAGGGTCTCGTTACAGTGACAAGATCCTGTAACACCTGGTGTGTCAGAGGGTCTCGTTACAGTGACAAGATCCTGTAACACCTGGTGTGTCACAGGGTCTCGTTACAGTGACAAGATCCTGTAACACCTGGTGTGTCACAGGGTCTCGTTACAGTGACAAGATCCTGTAACACTGGGTGTGTCACAGGGTCTCGTTACAGTGACAAGATCCTGTAACACCTGGTGTGTCAGAGGGTCTCGTTACAGTGACAAGATCCTGTAACACTGGGTGTGTCACAGGGTCTCGTTACAGTGACAACTTCCTGTAACACTGGGTGTGTCACAGGGTCTCGTTATAGTGACAAGATCCTGTAACACTGGGTGTATCACAGGGTCACGTTACAGTGACAAGATCCTGTAACTGGGTGTGTCACAGGGTCTCGTTACAGTGACAAGACCCTGTAACACCTGGTGTGTCACAGGGTCTCGTTACAGTGACAAGATCCTGTAACACCTGGTGTGTCATAGGGTCTCGTTACAGTGACAAGATCCTGTAACACCTGGTGTGTCATAGGGTCTCGTTACAGTGACAAGATCCTGTAACACCTGGTGTGTCAGAGGGTCTCGTTACAGTGACAAGATGCTGTAACACTGGGTGTGTCACAGGGTCTCGTTACAGTGACAACTTCCTGTAACACTGGGTGTGTCACAGGGTCTCGTTATAGTGACAAGATCCTGTAACACTGGGTGTATCACAGGGTCACGTTACAGTGACAAGATCCTGTAACTGGGTGTGTCACAGGGTCTCGTTACAGTGACAAGACCCTGTAACACCTGGTGTGTCACAGGGTCTCGTTACAGTGACAAGATCCTGTAACACCTGGTGTGTCATAGGGTCTCGTTACAGTGACAAGATCCTGTAACACTGGGTGTGTCACAGGGTCTCGTTACAGTGACAAGATCCTGTAACACTGGGTGTGTCACAGGGTCTCGTTACAGTGACAAGATGCTGTAACACTGGGTGTGTCACAGGGTCTCGTTACAGTGACAAGATGCTGTAACACTGGGTGTGTCACAGGGTCTCGTTACAGTGACAAGATGCTGTAACACTGGGTGTGTCACAGGGTCTCGTTACAGTGACAAGATGCTGTAACACTGGGTGTGTCACAGGGTCTCGTTACAGTGACAAGATCCTGTAACACTGGGTGTGTCACAGGGCCTCGTTACAGTGACATGATCCTGTAACACTGGTGTGTCACAGGGTCTCGTTACAGTGACATGATCCTGTAACACTGGGTGTGTCACAGGGTCTCGTTACAGTGACAAGGTCCAGCTGGGGTACAGTGAGGACGCACAAGGAAATTAATATAACCTAGCCTGAAGCACCGTAATATAATGACTGGTGTTCATTTAGTGCCTTGGATGGAGCAGGTGTGGACACACCTGTACAAGGACCCATGTACACCTGGACACACCTGTACAAGGACCCATGTACACCTGGACACACCTGTACAAGGACCCATGTACACCTGTACACACCTGTACAAGGACCCATGTACACCTGGACACACCTGTACAAGGACCCATGTACACCTGGACACACCTGTACAAGGACCCATGTACACCTGGACACACCTGTACAAGGACCCATGTACACACCTGTACAAGGACCCATGTACACCTGGACACACCTGTACAAGGACCCATGTACACCTGGACACACCTGTACACGGTCCCATGTAAGACTTGGGGGTCAATAGTGTGTTGAAGGAGTAAGGTGACGAGCTAGTGTTGATGTGGTGTGGGTGTTGTTCCAGCAGACTGTGGGTGTTGGCGCTGGGGAGGAGAGGGACCAGCTGCTGCCAGAGGACTCCTACCTTCACTACCTCGATGGTATAGACAACCCCGCTCTTGTCCACGACGCTCACATGGTGGGTCTATGCCACAGTAATAATAATAATAATAATAATAATAATAATAATAATAATAATAATAATAATAATAATAACAATAATAATACACAGAGTAAACACACTATCGTGAGTGCATCAGTGAGAAAATTAGAAGAAGCTGTAATAAGGATTCGAACCCTAGGAACACCAACTGCATAGGTTCGAATCGTCATCACAGCTCCTACGGATCTTCTCAATAAAAACAATAATAATAATTTATTTGCCTACAAGTCCATCATAGGACTCTAAAATGTCCTTTAAGTCTATCAGTTTGAGCATCCTAGTTCCAGATTATAACTCATGGAATATATTTTAAATATCAAAGGAATGTAATTTGAGTTTACATATGTCTGACTTGTGTACTGCAATGGAGTATACATGTTGGTGCTTGTATTGTGGGAGTAATGCCGTGAGGGGAAATTATCAGCTGTAATGTGAAATTTGTTTTCAGCCTAGTTACCGAGCACCTGGAGGAGGGGTGCAGGGGGCCCACCAGGGTATCCCAGGGAGTGTACAGGGGGCCCACCAGGGTATCCCAGGGAATGTACAGGGGGCCCACCAGGGTATCCCGCCGGAGGGCACGCTGGCGGGGGTCCTGCCTCCACCCTACGACTCTCCCTTCCTCTCTCGCTCCACGTACCGGCCTCCGTCTCTACAGCAGCAACACCAAGCGGCGTCCCAGCAGCTCCCACCCCCCTCCCACCTCCACCCAGCCACCTCCCAGCACCACCCAGTCACGTCACAGCACCACACAGCCACCTCCCAGCACCACACAGCCACCTCCCAGCACCACACAGCCACCTCCCAGCACCACACACCCACCTCCCAGCACCACACAGCCACCTCCCAGCACCACCCAGCCACCTCCCAGCACCACCCAGCCACCTCCCAGCACCACCCAGCCACCTCCCAGCACCACCCAGCCACCTCCCAGCACCACCCAGCCACCTCCCAGCAATCAGCCTTCACCAGAGAGACGTGGATGCGTGGCTCACAGGGGCAGTTTGCGGTAAGATAATCACTATATATTTACATCTTCATCATATATTATTTATATATATTTAATTAGTCTTTTATGTATTTACGAGCAGCGGTAACCGGCTGCGCCCGGGGCTCTCTTCCCCTTTCCCCACTCCCCCCACCTCTCTTAATCTCCCCTCTCTTTCATTTATCTTTCTCTATCCTCTCTCTCTCTTCCCAAGCCTCTATTCACCACCTTCCATCCTAACATTCATTATGTTAGATAAATCTTATTGAGGATGGATTTTTTATTTAGCGAGATTAAAAATTAATAGAATTTACCATTTAATGCAAAGGTGGGACATACGGGGTTCGACTCCCTCCCCCCCCCCCCACCAACCTATGTACCCTGGAATCGACCAGTCAGTTACATATAGGTCGTGTTAATGAATAATAAAGGTGAGAGTCGCTGAACGTCTATCAGCTGAATTTCCATTTAGTAAAATTTTAGGGACATACTGAAAGCAGGAGCCTTTCAAGGTATTCGATATTAGTGTATTTGTTGAAATTGTGGTTTTGAATGTTGTGTCTGTACTGCAGGGCATCGTGGAGATCCTTCCGCCACAGGGACACCTCCACCTCAATGGTCACGTGTCCCAGCACCACCCACCTCCAGCAGCACACATCCCAAATGGTGGGACTCACAACCACACCAACAATCACCTGGAGGGAGCACACACCCACGCCACTGGCCACCACACCCACCCTAGCAGCCACCTCACTCACCCCGCCACTCACCACTCCCATATGAACGGCCACCAGGAACCCGTGAATAGCGTGGGCACTCAGAACAACAGGAGCGCCGGCACCGTGGATGACAACCAAGCCAACGATGCACAGGAACGTGGCGAAGACCAGCACAAAGACGACAAGTGGGGCTCCCTCAAGCGTGGTCTGGCAGCCCGTAAGTACCAAAACCTGAAGGAAAAAATATCTAGTAAATTTTCCCGTGGGGACAAACATGAAGAGCAGGCAACCACACCTCAGGGCACATCATCTCAGGGCACAAACACGAAATCCACAGCAACTCATGGTAACACAAACAACGCCACTGGAAACTCCCAGCAAGAAACAGGTGGAATCCAACCGGGAGAAACAAGAGACAGCGGCCGGGTCAACAAACTCAACACAAGCTTCCGTAAGGCCATCCACCAGAGTACTCAAAAAACCAACTTGCAAGAAGCTACAATGGAGACGAGCTTAAGCACAAATCAAGAACCAGGAGGTCCACCGCAGCAAGGTAGTGGCCTTCCCCCTCACTACCCCCGCGGCTCCCTCCACTACCACACACACCACGCCTCTCCAAACCAGCGTGCAGCTGCGCCACTACCCATGTCCTCCCCACAGCTGGGTCGCCAGCACCAGCACGACCCCTTGGCACATGGCCTGGCCAACAGGCGCTCAGGCTCCTATCATCATCTGGCTCAGCTTCGACAAGAACCGCCTACATGGCGCTCTCACCATTACTCTGTTGACAACCTGGTTGATGCTCATGCATTGCCCTCTGACCATACTTACTCCGGTCCAGCTGTCAGCAGTGGGCGTGGGCAACCTGCAGGAGGGGAAGGCGTGGGCTCGGGCGGCTCAGACTCGGGGCGTGGGACAGCCGGCAGCGGGGGTGAGGGCCGCCTGCCTAACAACCTCGACACCAGCCTCGACTCAGCAGCGTCTCAGCGACAAAATAACCAAAGCCATTCATCAGGTGAGAATAAATATTGGTAAATATGATTTAGATTGTAGCATAGTGGGCTACGTCCTCGGCTCACAATCGATGGACCTGGGTTGAATCCCCAGGCGGGACAAAAACGGTTGGTTATGTTTTCTTTCATCTGATGGCTCTGTTCACCAAGCATAGCTGTGTTCAAATAGCATCGCATCCGGATACCGGTAATTATCTGGGAACTAGACAACTGTAGTGGGTGGCAGCCTGTGGAAAGTTAGTAGTTGGCCTAGGGTAAACCTTGATAACAGTAACCACAGGCTTCCTGTCCCCTGCAATGGGAAAGTAAGGTAACTATCAGGAGAAAGTGCTAAGCCATTAGGACTATATAGCCCTGGGAAGGGGTCATAATTAGGATTTGGGATGGGACGGGGGAAAGAAATGGTGCCCAACCATTTGGACGCTCGGGGAATGAACGCCGACCTGCATCCGGCGAGATCATCGCTCTACCGTTCAGCCCAAGTGGTTGGGTCCCGACAACGAGGATTATACTGAATCAGTTGATACCCTTATTGGTAGCAGTAATATCATTATGATGGTCCAGCAGGCAACGACTCCGAGTGGGTGGACATGACAGATGCCGAGCTTCAGCGGATCATGAAGAAGAGTTGTGGCGGGAAGAGCAACGGAGGGCCCGCGGCGAGGCGGGAGTCCTTGGCTGCCACGCCGCCCTTGCCGCCCCTGTCGCCAGAGGCCACACCTCAGCCCTCCCCTCAACCCTCACCGCCCAGGCACCGCAAATACAGCCTTTCATACAGGTATGTATGGCTGGTATATATCATACAGGTTTGGCTGGTATATGTCATACAGGTATGGCTGGTATATGTCATACAGGTATGGCTGGTATATGCCTTACTGTAACTCATTGTCCATTACGAGTGCAGGCGTAGTAGGGTATATTGCTTGACCTATCTATCTGTTCCTCTTTACCCGTTTGTCTTTGTTTACTCGTTCATGTTTCTATTTACCTGTTCGCTCGTTCATCTATCACTATTTACTCATTCATGCCCAGGTATAGTGACCACACAAATTCATCACTGATTTTTTATTAAAGTTTTACCTTGCATAGAAAATAAGTTAATATTAATCATAGAAAGCGGGTTAATACTAATCATAGAAAACGAGTTAATATTAATCAATAAGCAGCCTCAGTGTGGCATAAAGAAAATGTTTAGTTACATCATATGTAAAATGTATTTTATCTTAATGATAATTACTTATAATTACACCAGCGTAAGCACTCATGATACTGGATAATAATAATAATAATAATAATAATAATAATAATAATAATAATAATAATAATAATAATAATAACATAAAACCCCACACTTGTGTATTTGTGAAATTTATGTAAGGAATTTACACCAAGTTTTTCACACTCTTCTGAGTGCTTTGTCAAGGTCTGAGTGTGTGGTTAGGACGAGACTTACGTCACAACGTCTAATGAGGCTGCTATCCTGGGTCCAGTCCTGTTATCCTTCTTGACCACATGACTTCTGATGTACCCGCGGTAATGTCTTCTACGGTATTATGGCCATGTGTTCTTTCTGTAATCCTGCTATTCTGGGAACTGGAGTTGTTATCCAGTTCAAATAACAACTCCAGTTCCCAGAATAGCAGGATTACAGAGAGGACACATGACCATAATACCGTAGAAGACATTACCGCAGGTACATCAGCAGTCAGGAATAGAGGTGATCGACATGGTCAGGAGGAGATCAGGAAGGATAAGAGAACTGGACCCAGGATACCTGGATCATACCTGGAGAGTGGTTCTGGGAAGTTCTTCTACTCCCCGAGCCTCGCCTTGAGGCGAGGCTCGATTTGTGATAAAGTAGTGATCCAACTTACGCATACAAAGTGAAATTGATGACGTTTTTGGTCCATCTTAGACCTCTTCCCCCTTTCCCCCAGTCCCGACTTGATAAGCGTCAGGACGGCCCGAAACATCGTCAATTTCATTTCATATTTTTGAGTAGAATTATCTGCGGAAAATGAATATTGTGAACAATATGTAATCCAAATCTCACCACTGCCGAGTAAATTCAGTGTGAACCTTGACACCAGCAGCAGCAGCAGCGGCCTCAACAAACCTGACCTGCTGGAGGCTGCAGGACGGGACGGGAGCAAGACTCGAGGTGTGGTGGACGGCCGCCCTCCCGCCACCTCCCAGGAGACCTCCGCCCAGCCCACCTCCAGGAGGACAGCGGCCTCTCACACCCAACACACACATGCAAGGTGGCATATACATTACAAAAAAATAATTATTTGATGATATATTTATTTACAAAAAGAGATGCAATGAGTTATAAATACAGATTTTGGTGTGTAATTGGTAAATTCTCGTAAAATACTGATTAAAACGTATTCTGAGTTACATTGAAGTCAGATCTATGTTGTATGAGCGATGTATTTTGCATGATTTTGATGCGGGGTTGTCCCAGCATTTATTAATGTGTGCAATTTCTATACCTTCATGGTTTCATTTATATTAATTCTTCAAATTTTCTTTTTGAACATTGTAATATTGTGATATAACCGTGCAGTGTCTCTCTCGCAGCTGTAATGGTAAACTATACTTTGCTTTTCCTATATACTGTATTTCACTTTCCAAATTGTAAGCTAAGTGTTACTCTGTCAAAAATGTAAGTTTAACTTTGACTGCTCTTCTGTTTAGTCTAGTCATTATCTTAATGGTTTGTGTAAGTTGTTACGAATATAATTTCGAATTCTAAGTAATGTTAAATCAACATAGGTTCAACATTAAATCGATATTGAATCAATGTAGAATCACGTTGGTTCAATGTTACATTTACCTGAGGACCAATCTCTTTCTAGTGGCGTCGACGAGGGCATGAAGTCGGCGGCTTGTCAAAAATCCCCTCATTTGTCCTGATGATTTTGTCAAACTGGATTTTAAAATTCAGCAGATTTTTGGCGTCTATGGCTTCGGCGGGTAGGCGGTTCCATAGGTTTATAACCCTGTGGGTGAAAAATCATCTCCTGTTTTCTGCCCTACATTGTGGTTTGTTGAGCTTGAATCCGTTGCTCCTTGAGTTACATCTGACCTTTTGAGGAAACTCTCTGGGTCAGTATCCTCCAAATTGTTAAGTATTTTCAAAGTTTCTATGTCAGCCCTGTCATGTCTGGTTTGCAGTGTTGTTAGCCCTGTGGCCCTCAACCTTTCCTGGTATGAGAGTTGACTTAGTTCTGGATTTTATTTTTGTTGGCTGGTATTGAACTTTCTTCAGAGCAGCTATGTCCTTCTGAAAATGAGGTCTCCATGCCTGGATACAATAATCCCAAGTGAGATTTTGGCATTAGAGATTTATACAGTTGAATTACTAACGTCTCCTTAAAGTCAAAAGTTCGTTTGATTATTCCCAAGGTTTAGTTAGTCTTTTTTTCTCTCTTATTGCAGCTCCCACTTGTGGTGCAACTTTCAGTGAATGATGGATTATGACTCCAAAGTCCTTTTCTTCATCAATTTACTGTAAGGTAGATTGAGCTCATCATTGTTAATTTGATAGCTGTGATGAGAATTATGTTCAACATGCAACATCCTGCAATTTTCGACATTTAAAATCATTTGCCAGTCTTCCGATCATTAATAAGGCCTGTGTAGTGTAAGGATGATGGGGTTTGTAATATTCTCATCAATGTCATTAATGTATATGACAATAAGGGTTGGCCCTAAAATGAACCCCTGCAGTACCCCACTTACCACATTTCTCCAGTCAGATTTATTTCCGTTAAGCACGGCCTTTCGCTTTCCTTGTTTTAACCATTTTTTTATCCATTCTAGTATTCTACCATTTATTTCATGTGTCTGTAACTTCCTTACACCCTTCCTCAGCAACAAGATAACAGGAGGTGGTGGTAGCACTGGTCACCGGAGCCTCGGGGCGCTGGCAGGCGGCTGGTCACACAGGAAGGAAGAAGAGAGGCACAAGAATAACGCCTTTGAACCCCTTAACAAAAATAGAGTTAATCTAGGTAATTACATAATATAAATTGTTTGATTTATATTGATAGTATCACACCTTATATTTTTAGCAGACTGAGAGCTTTTCCCCTCCCACAATTCATCTTAAGCTTTACCCTATTTGTTTTCCTAGAACGTGACTCTGCAGTCACATATATATAAGAACTGGTCTCGTGAATCTTGCTGGCAAAACTTGTAAACTTATCCAGTGCCCACTAAATTAAGTGTGATATAAAGTTTTGTGGCTTCACACCTAACAAATTAAGTTAGACGTTAATTTATACGTATATTAATTTTTTTAACTATGAGTCTTCTAACTGCAGAAAATAAGATACAATAACAGAAAAGACCTTGCATGAAATTAAATGAAAAGTGATGTTTTTGTCCATCTTGAACCCTTATATAATGATGTTTCGGTCCGTTATATAGGCATATATCTTCATTGTCATTTCATATTGATGGGTTGGGTTAATCATCTCCTAATTCTGTGGCCGTACTGATATGAGCAGGCCCTGGTGGAGGTGACCTGGATACTGGGGAGATAACATCGACCACCGAGGCCCTCGACCTAGACTCCATGTTGGACGGGGTGACGGAGGCGACCACTGACGACGACACCACCACCTGCGCGTATGACCCCGACGTCCACCTCATCAGGAAGCAGCTAGAGGGCCTAGAGGGCATGTACTCTGAGGTGAGGACTACACTAAATCATCATCAAAAGGGGCCAAACGTGCGAGGCTCTTTAGCACTGTTACACAATGTTAAACAGTTCCTAGTTAGTTGATCATAATACAAGAACTCTGAGATGAGTGATGTCAGCTGTGGTATCAGATCCACCGAAGAGTTTACCAAGAGACATGTGACTTGAAGGAACAGTGGAAGGTTACCGTGAGGTATTTATGAGGAGCATCTCACAGCCCAGCCTCTGACCAGGCCTCCTCGTTGATAGTTGGCTAAAAATAAAGTTGATTTTATAGCTATGAAATTGGGTAGCAGCACGTTACTGTGTATACCTAAGTTTGTTAAAAAAAAATGGAATTATCTTTAAACTGTATTATAATGTCAATTATTGCTTAACAAATATATACTGTAACAATGATACAGTAGATTTTATAGCTTCAAAATTATTTATATGTTGATATAATAATGTAAACTGTTTCTTTGACAAACACATAGAGTAACAATGATAAAGTAAATTATCATTGTTAAAATTATAATTTACTTTAAATTTAAAATAATTCCATAGCTTTACCAATAAGGGGGGGGGGTAGGGTCCCGGTAGTACAGTTGGGTTCGTTCTCAACGCACAATCGAGAATTCCGGGTTCGAATCCCGGGTGAGACAGAAATAGTTGGGCACATTTCCTTTCACCTAATGCGTCTGTTCACCTAGCAGCAAGTGGAGCTTAGGAGTTAGTCAGCTTGTTGTGGGGTTGCATCCTGGGCGGGGTCAGTAATTTGACCCTGGAGGGGGGGGGGGACCTCGATAAAAGCCAAACGTGTATGAATACACTCTGGCTTCCTGTCCCTCAATACAGTGAATTATTAAATAATAAAGCTATGGAATTATTTGTATCTCAATTTTATAATATAAATTGTGTGTTGTACAGGTGCTGAAGCTACTGGGAGGTGGTCGGCGTGGGGGCCGTCACCTCCTGGCCAACGGGAGTGGTATGGCAGACCTCAAGACCTCGAGGCGCCGGCTGCACGGCTCACTCTCCTCACTACCGTCATCCATAGTGTCGTCGAGGCCAGGCAGGGACAAGCGTAGTCGAGTGATTGACGACAGGGTGAGGAAGACCGCCAGGGATACCGGTGGCAAGGTATGGCGCCGTCTCTTACAATTGATTTCATAACTGCTGGGGAACTATTGATGATGTACAGTCGAGGGAAATTATTCCTTTACCCCTCAGCTCCTTGGAACGTGCGAAATGGCAATGTCACATTTGCTGTTATCTTAATAGTGGGTTAGATTATGAATGAATATGCGCTTTGTAACGCGAGCCTCATTGGTCAAAACAACATACATTAATCAAAACATGTTTAGGGACCCTCAGCCTCGAAGAAGAGTATATGTAGCATCCGGGGGAGCCTTTTGGGGTATCCGCGTACACTCACATATTGTCTTCTCCTACCATCCCCTATACTGTATATTGTGTATCGTTAACCAAACCACACCCTAGAAAGTGAAGGGACGACAACGTTTCGGTCCGTCCTGGACCATTCTCAAGTCGAATGTGTATTGTAATTTTATTTTATTTTATTTAAAACTACATTACACGAATTTTTTCAATATTTCTTATGTTTCTTTTTACTGTCGATGGTAATTGAAAAATCAATTCTCCAAAATTCATTTTTATTTCTAGTCTGATGCGATGCTTGAACACGTTTCATAATAACTTATTACATTTTCAAAGACTTTAGTTTGCACACACACAACTGTAACCTGAAAACACTAAACAGAATTTTACTTATGCTAAACACTTAAACAGCTTGTCTTATATATTCGCATTTGAGTGAGGTGATATGTTGCAACAGTTTTGGATAAGGTGAACAAACTTTTGACCAACACAAGACAGAACACGGAACATTGGGTATTAATTGGATAAATGAGAGGGAAGAATGGAAGTAACTGTAAAGAGCCTATTGGCCCATACTTCCTCTTGATGCTTCTATATTGGTATGGAGTCTTGAAGTGGGAGTCTAGTGTCTAGTGTCGGAGTCTAGTGTTTTCAGGTTACAGTTGTGTGTGTGTAAACTAAAGTCTTTGAAAATGTAATAAGTTATTACGAAACACGTTCAAGCGTCTCATCAGACTAGAAATAAAAATTAATTTTGGAGAATTGATTTTTCAATTACCATCGACAGTAAAAAGAAACATAAGAAATATTGAGAAAATTCGTGTTAGAATTATTAATCTTACTTTTTCGGTCATATTTAACAACATATGTTTACAAGAAAGACTGCTACCAAAATATACTAATATTAAAACGCACGACCCAGCAGCAAGAAATCAAGCCTTCACGATAAAATATCGCCAAGATCTGATTCGAAATCAGATACACAAGGCAGAAAATGAGATCAAAGACAACAAAACGCAACTACTTCACGCTACAAACCAATGGAGAAACAGCAACATCGACGAAAACCTCCGTACTCGTATCGAGCAACACCTCGACATCCTCACAGATCGACATCACCACAGCACCGAAACCAGGATCATCAAGAAACTAACAACATTATATGGAGGACCTATGGCGATTCCACGACCAAGAGATGGCTTCCTGAACCTTGCTGGAATCAACCTCACTGAGGACCAAGTCACTCTCCTAAATCTGGGTATAAACTGTCACGTTATGTCCAGACCAAGTGAGATGGCCCGGAAAGTGGAGTTGGAGATCCTGTTGGACGACATATTCGACCTCGAGACGCAAAAGAAGGTCACCACCAAAGACACCTTGCAAGCAGAACTTATTGCAGAAGGAGGAAAGATTCGAGGCAACTACAGAAGCACCATACTGTCCCCCGAGCTCAAAGCGGCAGCTAAGAGCCTTCGTGAGAACAAGGAGATAGTCGTCAGGAGAGGTGACAAGTCGCCAATATATGTCATTCTTAAAAAAGACGAATATCTGGCGAAAATGAACCTCATACTCTCTGACCAAACTAAATTCCAAAGGGTAACGAAGGACACTACAGCCGAATTGAAAACAAAGGTAAACAGATTGATTGAAACTGTGAACGCCAAGAAATCGAACTCCACCTGCCAAAGATTATTGGGAATACAAACCTGGGTATGCATATGGAAATGTCAAGACGCACAAGCCTGGAAACCCACTTCGGCCAATCATCAGCCAGATACCCACACCCACGTACAGACTGGCGAAGCGACTCAACGGCTTGCTGACTCCTTATGTACCTTGTGCTTTCAGCCTGAAGTCTCCAAAGGAATTTGTTGACTTACTGCGGGGAACACGGGCCACAGGGATAAGAGCCTCGTTGGACGTAGAATCACTGTTTACCAACGTACCTGTGGATGAAACAATCGGGATGATAGCGGACAGAGTGTATCGTGATCCGGCCTGTACTCCTCTTGACATACCAGAAAACATTCTAAGGAAACTACTCCAAGCTTGTACTAAAGAGGCACCCTTCTTGAGCCCTGATGGGCACATGTATAAGCAAGTAGATGGGGTCGCCATGGGTTCTCCCCTAGGTGTCCTGTTTGCGAACTTCTACATGGGTACCATCGAACAGAAGGTCTTAGTTGACATGAACTTGAAACCTGCCATATACTGCAGGTATGTTGACGACATTTTTACACAGGTACCTGATGTCAGACGTCTGCAGGAGCTGAAGGAGGCATTCAAGCGGAATTCTGTGTTGAGTTTCACTTACGAGATGGAGAAGGATGGGAAGCTGCCCTTTCTAGATGTAACAGTCATGGAAAGGAGCGGAGGTTTCCACACTGCAGTCTACACTAAGGAAACAAACATAGGAATGTGCCTCAATGCCAACAGTGACTGCCCAGACAGGTACAAGAGGAGTGTTGTCAACGCTTACGTCGACCGTGCTCTCAGCCACAGCTCAGGATGGAAGCAAGTCGATGAAGAACTCTGTAGGGTAAGGCAGGTCCTAGTCAACAACGGCTTCTCCAATGGTTTCGTTGAAGACATCATAAAAAGAAAGGTGAAACGCCATGCAACCTCTGAAGAGTCAACTAACACAACACCTGTACCCCCTATTAGACTATTTTACAGGAACTTCTTTTCCACAGCTCATAAAACGGAGGAAAGGGTCCTGAAAGATATTGTTAATAGGAACGTTATCCCTACAGACAAAAATCAGAAGATACAATTGACGATTTACTATAAAACCAAAAAAACGGCCAACCTACTCATGAAAAACTCTCCAGACACAAAGCAGAATGCCTTAAAGGAAACTAACGTCGTCTATGCCTTCAAATGCCCACTTGGGGACTGTAAGCCCCAAAGAACTCAGTATATAGGCAAGACAACAACATCTCTTTCCAGGCGATTAACAATGCATAAGCAACAGGGCTCCATCAAGGAACATATAATCTCTTCTCACAACCAGACCATCACCAGAGAAGTCTTAACAAACAACACAGAAATCATCGATAGATACAGCGATAGCAGGCGGCTCGACATCTGCGAGGCACTACACATCAAAAAGTCAACACCAGCAATCAACAGCCAATTAATGCACAACTATATTCTACCCACTTCAAGACTCCGTACCAATATAGAAGCATCAAGAGGAAGTATGGGCCAATAGGCCCTTTGCAGTTACTTCCATTCTTATGCTCTCATTTATTCAATTAATACCCATTGTTCCGTGTTCTGTCTTGTGTTTGTCACAAGTTTGTTCACCTCATCCAAAACTGTTGCAACATATCACCTCACCCAAATGCGAGTATATAAGACAAGCTGTTTAAGTGTTTAGCATAAGTAAAACTCTGTTTAGTGTTTTCAGGTTACAGTTGTGTGTGTGTAAACTAAAGTCTTTGAAAATGTAATAAGTTTTTACGAAACGCGTTCAAGCGTCGCGTCAGACTAGAAATAAAAATGAATAATTTTTTCAATTACCATCGAGAATTGATTTTTCAATTAATATCGACAGTAAAAAGAAACATAAGAAATATATATATTATATATATATATATATATATATATATATATATATATATATATATATATATATATATATATATATATATATATATATGTCGTACCTAATAGCCAGAACGCTCTTCTCAGCCTACTATGCAAGGCCCGATTTGCCTAATAAGCCAAGTTTTCATGAATTAATATATTTTCTCAAATGTTTTGCTTATGAAATGATAAAGCTACCCATTTCATTATGTATGAGGTCAATTTTATTTTATTGGAGTTAAAACTGACGTAGATATATGACCGAACCTAACCAACCCCTACCTAACCTAACCTAACCTATCTCTATAGGTTAGGTTAGGTTAGGTAGCCGAAAAAGTTAGGTTAGGTTAGGTAGGTTAGGTAGTCGAAAAACAATTAATTCGTGAAAACTTGGCTTATTAGGCAAATTGGGCCTTGCATAGTAGGCTGAGAAGTGCATTCTGGCTACTAGGTACGACATATATATATATATATATATATATATATATATATATATATATATATATATGTCGTACCTAGTAGCCAGAACTCACTTCTCAGCCTACTATGCAAGGCCCGATTTGCCTAATAAGCCTAGTTTTCATGAATTAATATTTTTTCGACAACCTAACCTACCTAACCTAACCTAACCTAACGTTTTCGGCTACCTAACCTAACCTAACCTATAAAGATAGGTTAGGTTAGGTTAGGTAGGGTTGGTTAGGTTCGGTCATATATCTACGTTAATTTTAACTCCAATTAAAAAAAATTGACCTCATACATAATGAAATGGGTAGCTTTATCATTTCATAAGAAAAAAATTAGAGAAAATATAATAATTCAGTAAAACTTGGCTTATTAGGCAAATCGGGCCTCGCATAGTAGGCTGAGAAGTGAGTTCTGGCTACTAGGTACGACATATATATATATATATATATATATATATATATATATATATATATATATATATATATATATATATATATATATATATATATATATATATGTCGTACCTAGTAGCCAGAACTCACTTCTCAGCCTACTATTCAAGGCCCGATTTGCCTAATAAGCCAAGTTTTCCTGAATTAATATATTTACTACAATTTTTTTCTTATGAAATGATAAAGCTACCCTTTTCACTATGTATGAGGTCAATTTTTTTTTATTGGAGTTAAAATTAACGTAGATATATGACCGAAGCTAACCAACCCTACCTAACCTAACCTAACCTATATATTTAGGTAAGGTTAGGTTAGGTAGCCAAAAAAAGCTAGGTTAGGTTAGGTTAGGTAGGTTAGGTAGACGAAAAAACATTAATTCATGAAAACTTGGCTTATTAGGCAAATCGGGCCTTGCATAGTAGGCTGAGAAGTGAGTTCTGGCTACTAGGTACGACATATATATATATATATATATATATATATATATATATATATATATATATATATATATATATATATGTTGTACCTAGTAGCCAGAACGTCGTACTCGGCCTACTATGCAAGGCTCGATTTGCCTAATAAGCCAAGTTTTCCTGAATTAATATATTTTCTCAATTTTTTTTCTTATGAAGTGATAAAGCTACCCATTTCATTATGTATGAGGTCAGTTTTTTTTTATTGGAGTTAAAATTAACATAGATATATGATCGAACCTAACCAACCCTACCTAACCTAACCTAACCTATCTTTATAGGTTAGGTTAGGTTAGGTAGTCGAAAAAGTTAGGTTAGGTTAGGTTAGGTAAGTTAGGTAGTCGAAAAACAATTAATTCATGAAAACTTTGCTTATTAGGCAAATCGGGCCTTGCATAGTAGGCTGAGAAGTGCGTTCTGGCTACTAGGTACGACATATATATATATATATATATATATATATATATATATATATATATATATATATATATATATATATATATATATATATATATGTGTGTGTGTGTGTGTGTGTGTAAATCATGAAAATTAACACGTGATGAAGCACTTGACATTTATTATTTCATTATCTTTTGTGGGTATACGTTTTCACATTATTTATCACTTATTAAATTCCTCCTGATTTATTAACCACAAGTTAAACTCTTGGTCATGTACTCAGTGGGACAAATATTAATGTAACTAATATTAATTGTAACTGACAGTTTACAATAACCAATACTGCTTACTGTAAAATGTATTTATGTTGCCTGACTTGTACAATTATTCATGCATCATCAAGGCTAATAAACATTACAAATATTTTTCATTTGCAGTCCATTCACAAGCGGTTTCAACGCCTAGAGAGCCACGTGGTGACGCTGGCTCGCAGTGTGGCTCACCTCAGCTCAGAGATGAGAACGCAGCACCTTATGTTCCAGGTATGCTAATATCGTAAAGTATATGTATATACTACACGTGTAATTACCCAAGTGTAGTTACGATGAGAGCTACGCTCGTGGTGTCCCGTCTTCCCAGTACTCTTTGTCATATGACACTTTGGCACTTCTGATGGTTTTACCCTCCACCACCTTTTCATTTAACTTTTTCCAAGTGTGTACAATTCTGTTTACTAAAGAGAAATTTTTATATTTTTTGCGACACATTTGTTTCCTTAGTATGAATCTAAGACCTCTTGTTCTTGAAGATTTCAAAAATTTCTTCAAAGTTTCAAAAATCCTTCCTTATCTATAATGTTGATTCCTGTTACCATTTTGTTTGTAGTAATCATATTATCTCTTTTCCTCCTATTTTCTAACCTTGGCATGTTTAGCGTCTCCAAACTCTCCTCGTAGCTCTTCTTAAGTTTGAAGAGCTATTTAGTAGCATATCTTTGCAACCAATCGAGTTTGTGAGCCTCTTGGGGTCTGTACACCACACCTCTGCTACATATTCCTATTCTGGTTTCATAAACTGAGTGAACATTATCTTTAATGTTCCTCTGTCATTATATTGAAATGCAGTTCTGAAATTTGCCATCACAGTGTAGACTCCTTTCGCAATGTCCTAGCTTATGGGGATTATCTAGTGACAGCTTAATCTCTAGACCTCCTAGATCTCTCTCCCTGTCACAGGTTTTTAGTATCTTTTCACATAATTTGAAGGTTTAGTGTGGCCTTCACTATTTCTTGTGCCATTATGTGACATTAATTTATGATGAATTCCATCTGCCATGTGTTGTTGTTCTCACATGTTTTGTTTTGGTCATTTTGGAGGGCAATAGTCATGTAAATCCCCGACTCTCCCTAGCAATTTATTCGCGTCTGCAAATGTATCGTTGTAACTCTGTATTTCCTCTGGCAGATCATTTAAATCAAATCAAAAATCAAATATTTATTCAGGTAAAGTACATACATACAAGGTGAGGTACAAAACGTTGATGGATTTATAGATAGAGCTAGTACATACAATGCCTAAAGCCACTATTATGCAAAGCATTTCAGGCAGAAAAAACACTAAGACTAAAACTTAAGACTAATTGAGTTAGTTTAGTTAATTTATTATGCACCCCATACCCATCTTGTGGGCGGTAGTGGAAAGGGTTACAGAGGCTAATTGAGATAAAGTATAAACTGTGTTGAGAAAATAAAAAAGTAAAAGGGGTGAACATGGCAGAAAAATATAGCAAAAATACAATTTGGTCAACAAACAGCATTGTTTAAAATAGTAGACATGGGTTGACATTTTAGGGGTGAGGTAGGTTACATGGAGTTAATTAGGTGGTACTTAGTTTTTATCTTAAACTGGTTGGGAGAGGTACAGTCTTTAACATGATTGGGAAGGTCATATCACACTCTGGGTCCCTTGATTTGTAAAGCATTTATAGTTTGATTAAGTCGTACTCTTGGAATATCAAATAGGTATTTGTTTCTGGTGTGGTGCTCATGGGATCTGTTACAACCTTCTAGGAAGCTTTTAAGGTCAGGATTGACATTACAGTTCAGCGTTTTATATATATAAAATACACATGAGAGGATGTGCAGTAACTTTATATCTAACATATTCAAATTCAAAATTCAAATGTTTATTCAGGTAAAGTACATACATACAAGGTGTGATACAAACATTGATGGATTTATAGATAGATAAATCTATAGAGATAAATAGAGATATATAGATTTATATAGATAACGAACATTACCAGTGCATAAACTGAACCTTCAGGTACTCTGCTAGTAATATTTCTCTGCTATTCTCTCTGTATGTTTATGTAACAAGTTATTGAAAGACTTGACAAATGCTCGTATTTCTGTTTTATCAATTTATAATCAATAAACATAAATCACAAATGTTTACACTCAAACTTTTTACGAACAGTGCTTTGCTCACCTCCAGTGTTTGAAGCTTACTTCTTTAAAAATGCTTCAGCCATGCTAGATACTGTACCTTGGTTATTTCCAGCAGGACCAGATCACCTAACATTACTTACTCTCGGCGTAACTATACACAGCATTATAATATAGAATAATATTAATTTATATTTGGAAGACGGTCATTTTTGTATACACAGTTGACTACTAAAAGAAACACACACACATTTGTGGTCAACTACAGCTTGGATGAACATAACCTCACGATATGAAGCTATAGACAAATTTACCTGAGGGCCACTAACACTAGTGGCCTTCATGAGGACAGGAAGCTCGACAGTGGCTTGTCAAGCGTCCCCCATTTGCCTTCATGATTTTTTCTTGATGGATTTTAAAAATTCAACGGTTATTGGCATTTAGGGCTTCGACAGGTAGGCAGTTACATGGGTTTATAATAAGCTTACTTAACCCTATGGGTGAAAACGCATCTCCTGTTCTCAGTCCTACATTGTGGCTAGTTGAGATTGAAACCATTGCTCCTTGTTTGTGTTACATCTGACCTTTTGAAGTGGTCTGGATCAACATCCTTCAAATTGTTCAGTATTTTTAAAGTTTCAGTTGGATCCGCTCTATCATGTCTGGTTTGCGGTGTTGTTAGCCCTGTGGCTCTCAACTGTTCCTGATATAAGATGATTTTTGTTGCCCAGTGTTGAACTTTCTCCAATGCAGCTATGACTTCCTGAAGATAACGTCTCCATGTTTGGATACAGTAATCCAAGTGGCGGGCTCCCCTGAAATTTATACAGTTGAATAACTACCTTATTTTCCTTAAGTCAAAGGTTAGCTTGATTTTCCTAGGGTTTGATTAGCTTTTTTTTTTACTGCAGCTCCCACGAGTTGTGCAACTTTCAGGGAATGATGGATTCTGACTCCAAGGTCCTTTTTCTTCATTAATCTGCTACAAGGTAGTGTTGTTAATTTGGTAGTTGTGATGCAGCTGATGTTGTTCTATTTATATGAGCCTATGGAGTTAGGATTGATGTTATGTCCACTCAGGTCTTTTTCTCTCTAGATGTTATAGGGAAGTAGTTTCCCTTCACCATATATTGGCCTTTTGGTGTCTCAGCTCCTGTCCCCATTTCCATCACCTTGCACTTGTTAGTGTTCAACTCAACCAGCCATTTCTCGAACCATCTCTGCAAAATGGTCAAGTCATCCTGGAGAATCTTACAATCCTCATCTGTCTCAACCCTCCTCATTAGTTTTGCATCGTCTGCAATCATCGACATAAAAGACTCAACTCCTGCAGTGAAGTCATTTACATAAGAGGAATAGAATGGGTCCCAGCACCGATCCTTGAGGCACCCTGCTTGTTACTCTACACCAGTTGGACTCCTTACCTCTCACTATCACTCTCTAACACCTGTGTGTCAGGTACAGTAATTCCTAACCAATGTTAGTGTGTTTCCGTCTACTCCCGTCTACCTCTCAAGTTTGTATAGTAGCTTTCTGTGTGGTACTGTATGAAAGGCTTTTTGGTAGTCAAGAAATATGCAATCTGCCTAGAAATATGATATATACAACGTGTGAGTTATGTTATTTGTTTGTCACGTTATTGTGACATTTTTTGCACTTTACAGTTATATAAACACAAATATTTTCCTCTCAGCTTAATTTAAGTATGTACAGAAAATTATAGTAAATTACTCTTTTATTCCTACTTGTGCAGGAAATTGAAAGCATACGTGGGGAGTTGGCAACAATAAGAGCTGGTGGAGGTGGAGGTGGTGGGACGTGTGGAGTCAACGCTGGCAGAGCCGGAGCCCTCGTGTCCTGGGAGTCCTTCAGGGCTGGTATCCCTGGTCTCTCCAACCCAGGAAGGGTAAAAAAGCTAATCAAATTCTTTGGCGACGAACCTCCCCTGGTGAGAATCTTCCTCCGAAAACTGGGTTATGAGGTATGGAAATTGACTTTCAGCCTAATTAATGTGTAGTATTTACCTTTTTGCATCGACATTATTATTTTCGTTTAATTCATTGAATTAATTGGTTTTATTAATCTGAATTAATAAAATCAATGAATTAATTTTAATTCATTGTATCAGGGTACAGGCAGCCATTGTAGTCATACACGTTTATCGAGGTCCCACCAAGGTCGAGTTACTGACCCCGCCCAGGATGCAACCCCACAACAAGCTGATTAACTCCTTGGGACCTATTTACTGCTAGGTGATAGGAAATGTGCGCAATTATTTCGGTCCCGCCCGGGATTCGAACCCAAAATTCTCGATTGTAAGTCGAGAACGAACCCGACTGTACTACCAGAACTCCTTTTCACCGTGGAAGGTGCATTACCTGCAGTCTGTAGCTGTGTGTGCCGGGGAACAGCTCTCATGTGACAGCTCATTTCAAAACCTTAACCTCAGTGTTTTAATTGTACTTTGATCTGCCAGTCAGTTAATTGATATAGTAATTCTAAATCCAGTGAACAAATGATATTTTCTTGTTACCATTATTATGGTGTAAGATTTAAATGTAGCCCAAGTAAGATCACACCAACACACATGAGTAATAGTCAATTTCTCTATACAGAAGTATGCTGGAGTGTTCGAACAGGAGAAGATTGGGATGCTGGAGCTGCCGTACCTAACAGAAGAGCGCCTGCAGAAAATTGGCATTCCCATGGGTCCCAGACTCCGCATCCTGCAGGAGGCACAAGGACCCATCAGAAAAGAAGGAAATCTCAGTGTATATGTCGTGTGAAGAATTCAAACCTTTCATTTGAATTGTGCCAGTTTGTAATTTTGTAATATAGTTAATAAGGTTCTTATAAGCCAGGTATTATAACCTAAGTGTGATTCAAAGATTGTAAACACAAACTTTGTTTTTCCTGAGTTACTTTATTTAATACAAGTGAATATGAGTTCAATTTACATGGATTTGACCTTCAAGATCAGGGAAAATATTAGTTCAGTTTACATACAATTAAGAAGCCATAAGATAGCTTCTTGTAGTATGAATTCTCAGTGTCACGGTTTTGATGGTTGTGATATGTAAAAGAATTCATCATGATTGCTAGACTTGCCAAAGCCAGTGTATGTACTACGTGTTAGATATTTAACACTTGGATAGTGTTAATATCATAGTTAAGGGGTGATAATCATATAATGTCGAGGCACTGAAGCTGGTGCTACTCATGTTTCTACTGATCGTCAGCTTCAGGTTCTGTACTGCCAGTGTTACCTACATCCAAATACAATAAATAAAATACAAATACATTAAATGCAATACATGATCTAATGGCTGAATATGCTGCACAGATTTCCTGATCAAATGTCTGTCACATGATCAATCGTCTCATCCTAGTAGGAAATATGAGGAACTATTACAGGGCTCATTCCAGTCACCTGGACTCTAGGAGACTCGAACCGTGGACCCCACACTTGTGAGGTCGAAGCTCATCACCAAGTCTTCTGTAACAAGTTTTCTTCTATGGAATGTTAGATGCATTATTCGAAAGTAACTAGTGTTTTCATAAACAGATGGTGTCATCTCCTACTCTGATTGGTTAGAGTATGGAGAATGACTTCTGCTGGGGTTTATAACATGCTTCATGTAAGATAGGTCTCGTGTATTCTTGCCATCACTAGACTACACGTGCTGCCAAACCAAAGTTCGTACGCAATTATCATATTTACCAGTGGATAGGAAGCATGTTTTTGGTCCACCACCAATCAAACCTGTATTTTCTGTACATGTACAAAATCATATGTATTACCCTACCAAACCATTTGAACATCACTTCCAATAATTGTATTATGAAACATACTCAAATGGGTTTCTTTTCCACAGTATTCTTGTGAAGTAGGTGTCTTATATGCTGACAAATACAGTATTTGTTTTATTCTTGCCAAAATTTAATACAATATGTATATTGTCAAATAGTGTTAAACAAAATATAATTTAGTTAATAATGTTGAAGCTTACAGATTTCAGGGTGATATTCACTATATCACTATCTTTAGTGGTAAATATTGACTTTTATCATAATGTGGTTATTCTAATACTGATCACGTACTTACTGTCTTGCAGGCAAGAGCAGCTTGATCTTGTAAACTGTTTCAGACTATATTAAATAAATATTTTGGTATGTTGTTAGTATGAAGTAACACGTAATTGGTAGAAGGAATGAGATTTAGAATGTTACAGTTCACATATGCTGTGAGTAAACTGTGTACTGAATAGACAATTTCACAAAGATCTTTCAGTGAAAATGTGGTGATAAAGCCCTATATAAATAAATATATTTATCAGTATTTTGCATATTGTATAAATTGTATATAATTTATATTTTAGAAGGCGATTTTAAACTGTATATGAAATAGCACTGACGTGTGCTCTTTGTAAAAAAAAAAAAGTTTTGCAGCTCTACAATAAATGCTAAGACATGTCATAGTTAATTTATTATATAATTGTCATAAAATATAGACTTACTAATCTTATAATAGTGATCATGTATGCTAACGAGAAATCACTCGAAACATTCATGGTAAACGGAAAAACTTTAGTCTGTTAATCAGAAACACATATGTGCAGTAGTAACACTCGTAAAGACTCGATGATAAAATATATTTGATCTATGAAAGGCTTCAGTTTGTAACCAAATAGTAACCACATAACATGACAATATTAATGCAGTATAATAATATTACAATATTATTATTAAGTTGAATGACCTGTTGACCAGACCACACACTAGAAAGTGAAGGGACGACGACATTTCAGTCCGTCCTGGACCATTCTCAAGTCGATCTGTTGACTAAACATTGTAATGAAATGCAACAGAGTTCTTATATAAATTGACACGCTTTCAGGTACTGTACTTACATGTGTGATCAACTTTCATGTAATAACTAGTACGGTTGATAGACATTCAAGTATTGACAGGTATATGTGATTGATTTTCAAGTGATGACTGGTATGTGTGTGGTAGACTTTCAAAATAATGTTTTTGTTTGGCAGTATTTAGGCACCTCACGTCAAATTATAGTTCTTATGATCCAACATATTTAACTAAAAAATACATCAGCATGAACAATAAAATTGCAACAACGTGATGTATCTATGAGACAACACCGAGGTCGTGCGACGAGACAACACCGAGGTCGTGCGACGAGACAACACCGAGGTCGTGCGACGAGACAACACCGAGGTCGTGCGACGAGACAACACCGAGGTCGTGCGACGAGACAACACCGAGGTCGTGCGACGAGACAACACCGAGGTCGTGCGACGAGACAACACCGAGGTCGTGCGACGAGACAACACCGAGGTCGTGCGACGAGACAACACCGAGGTCGTGGGACGAGACAACACCGAGGTCGTGCGACGAGACAACACCGAGGTCGTGCGACGAGACAACACCGAGGTCGTGCGACGAGACAACACCGAGGTCGTGCGACGAGACAACACCGAGGTCGTGCGACGAGACAACACCGAGGTCGTGCGACGAGACAACACCGAGGTCGTGCGACGAGACAACACCGAGGTCGTGGGATGAGACAACACCGAGGTCGTGGGACGAGACAACACCGAGGTCGTGGGACGAGACAACACCGAGGTCGTGGGACGAGACAACACCGAGGTCGTGGGACGAGACAACACCGAGGTCGTGGGACGAGACAACACCGAGGTCGTGGGACGAGACAACACCGAGGTCGTGCGATGAGACTCGACACATCCCTAGACTTCCCATGATCATGCTCTACATAATAAGCTTATCGAGGTTCAGCCAATAGTGTGTGTGTGCCTGGGGGAATCAAGGGACATGGGTTCAATCCCATTCTTAGGCCTCAATATTTTCTCAAATCACAGCATTTAATTAGCACTTAAGTTACAAAGTAGCATCTGATACTGAATTACAAAGTTGCATTTATCATATAATTCAAACTCTATCAGATTACAAAGTAGTGCTCAGCATTTCCTTGCAAGATAGGTAGATTCAAAATAGGCATAGGTATAGAACCAATTATTGTTTGTGCTATAATAAATTTGATTTCTGGCCTTTGTCCAGTATGGGAAACATGTGGATCTGTCTGGGGACAAAAATCCTGTGGATCTGTCTGGGACAGCAAGCCTGTGGCTCAGGCTGATTCAGGAAGCCTGTGGATTAGTACAGGACAAAGCCTGTGGTTCTATCCAGGGCAGGAAGCTTATGGATCTGTTAGGGACAAGAAGTCTGTGGATCTGTCTAGGACAGAAAGCCTGTGGCTCTGGCCAAGACAGTAAGCCTCTGGATCTGTCCTAGACAGTTAGCCCGTGGCAGTGTTTCGTGTTCCCTGTGACAGTCTTTTGTGCTACAGAGGCAAGCTTTTATGCTCCTGGAGCAATATTTTGTGCTCCTGGAGCAATATTTTGTGCTCCTGGGGCAAGCTTTTGTGCTCCTGGGGCAAGCTTTTGTGCTCCTGGGGCAAGCTTTTGTGCTCCTGGGGCAGTGTTTCGTGTTCTCTGTGACAGTAATTTTTTTTACTGGGGCAAGCTTTTGTGTTGCCTACCCGGTCGTCTTATCCTTCTTTAGCAATATTTTAATTTTGTAAATGAAAGAAATTAGATAATTCATAAATTTATCGCAGCCAGCCTACAAAATCTTAGCAATATTGAACGTTTGCCAATTATTTTTAAATTAAAACTTAAAACATATACTGTATACGGTACTTGTAATGAAAATGCATTACTTGTAATGTGATGAAAATAATTGGAAAGTATACAAAAAGTTACTATTGTACAGTGTAAAAGGCGGTATGAATTTGGAAATTGTTTTGTTCTTGTTGATATATTTTTTCATTAAATTTTCCATATGTATTTGTCAAAACTAAAAGTTTATATAGATAAATGAGAAGAATTTTTTCCAAACTGCATCACAAAAAGCCCACACACACTGCAGGACAACATTGGCTACAGGCGAAGAGTTACTTCGCGAAGGCTTGATCAAATGTTTTATTATATTGTGTAACCAAGAATTGATTCAGCACCTGTGTCTCCTTTAAAAGCCTTGTGGCTTACAATACAACAGACGATCTGCATCACTAACCTTTGTTATATCAAGGTTTTAATGTTCTTTCTGTGTAAGACCGTGGCACACCACCTCGCTTCCACCGTCGACCGGAGGAACATCGTCACCAGCAGGCAGACTCAAGGAGCCCGTCTTGTGTAGTAGGATCCTCCAGTTGGCAAAAGTGGGACGTCGCTCCAGGGATGCATAAGGCACACTCAGCTCCTCGAAGTTGCTCGAGAATAGGCTGATGGAATCTGTTAAGTTCTCACACACCAGCTCTTGACTTTGTATCTCGTTGCTACTCTTTTCACCGGTGTTGGGGAAGTACGTGTTGGACCAGCGAGACTTCCAGTGTGGTAATGTCCAGACAGGACTGAAACTCTTGTTGACATCGCAATCACACTGTTTCACGTCGCCTTCTACATTAACGTCTTCAAAGGCCTTCTTGTCGAGAGACTGAGTTGTCTCCATCTTGTTCTTGAAGATAATGTTATCTAGGACTTGCTGCCTTGTGAGGTGTGATCTCTCAGAGCAGCACTTAACAAAGGGCGACAAGACTGTGCAATTCCTTAGTCGGTGTAGCAATTTAGTGGGCGTGAGTGGTTGAGGCAGTGGTGGGTGGGTGAGGCAGGTGCTGCTTACCACACTGCTGGACCACTGTAGCAATGTTTCCTGTAACAAACGACGCTTCTTGGTGCTCCTCAAGAATGTCATGAAGATAAACACTCCTTGGAACGTATTCAGAGTATCAGTAAGGGCCCTGGAAGAGCACTAATGTTAGAAGTATGAAATAGCCTTTAGAAACAATTAATATGTGAATATTTGTAGCATGAAAAATATTCTAACGAATTCCAATGAATTAAGATTTTATTTAAATACATCCAACCACTGGTCCGCTGAGCAACAATCTTGCTTCTTCCAGGGTCAGCGTTCGATCCCCTATAGTTCAAGTGGTTGGGCATCGTTCCCTCACTCCATCTTCATATCCCAGCTCATTGGCCCCATATTCCTTCCGTATGCTATATAGTCATTATATACAAACCTTAATCTCAAACATTCAGACTACTAATGTTATACCTATATAGAATTGAATAGTCTGGGATTGAACTATCAACCTTGTTATACTGACCCAACTGTATTTCCTAGCTCGCTCAATATAGAATCCCAGAAATATCTTTGATACAACTCTTCCCCACAAGGCAAGACTTTTATTACACTCTAATTGTATTTCTTACGAAAACATTTATGCACAGTAATCTATTCTCTGAAATTTACAGTGAATATCCATTTAAGACGTTTACACTTAGTAGAGAAGTCTTGTCATTCCCCGCATACTTTAAACTCTTCTCTACATAGTCACACTGTAATGTAAATAACAGGAATAAATCAAGGCGGTGCCAGGAGGCAGCCTTGAGGTGGACGCACCAGAGCTCGGAGTCAGCGGGTCCCACCAGCCAGGAGACCACCTCCATCACCCAGCACACCACCATAACACCGAACAGGGCGAAACGCTGCCAGAACCTGTAACACTTTCCCTCTTAGACATTACCCAGAGAAAGGCTGCCAACGATTGCGTCACTAGTTTGCCAGGAAAATTAACTTAAAACATTGACAAAAAGTAGAAATTAGATCATTTGACAAGAATGATAATTAAAACAGCATAAATAAAAATAACTACTAAAAGGCAACAATATACCCACTGTAGAAGCCTTATATTAGTTTACACGGCGCCAACAACATCACTCACTCCGCCAGGTGCGTGCGGTAGAGGGTGTGGTCAGTGCTCCTGCACCTGCCGAAGAGGCAGTCACATTTCTTGTCAGCGCAGTAGAGGCGGAGGCCCGTGTGGGCGATGAGGAGCGTGTTCACTACGCACAGGACACCCATTGGACCGTAGAAGTAAGCTAACATCTCCTTCCCGTCTGTAATGAATTGATCATAAATCGATATACATGTTAAGTCAGCTACTGTGATAATTGCGACAGGATGTGTGTGTGTGTGTGCACGAGCTCAGACTTTTGTGTGTAGTACCGTTCTCACGCTGTGACAAGCATCAAATATGGAGCAGTTTTACCTAGCCAGAAGCGTTCAAATCTCAGGCAACAATGTCAATGTTCATTAGTTCCTGTGTCAATAATAGTGCTTTAATTTCACTGTCACCGGAATTTTAACGCTTCAAGTCTATGGCTTCAAAATTGTAGCGCATAAAGTATGAGGACAAGTTTTGATGATCGGGAATGAACTCTACAGCCCGTCCTCCAAACAAAGATCCAAAAGTGATTCCATGCACCCGCCAAACCCCCTGTTTATGAATGAAAAGCGGTTTACACACGACTCACAACTGCTGACGTTCGAACATATCCGGAACAAGTGCTTCACTGACGAATTTTGTTCGAACCACAACGCTGTAAATGCTTCACCCACGTACTACAAATACAAATAATCGCCAACAGAACCTAAACACCTAACCTAACCTATGCCTATATATGCACAATATGCTAATATATTATAATATTAATTTATACTTGAGAAAATTCCCGTTTTGAATGAACAGCATGTTAAAATTTATGAATGCGTCTGTGGGGTTGACCGCTGAATGTAATGGACTTGAGTCGAGGATGGGTTGAAATTTTAACATGCTGTTCATTCAAAACGGGAATTTTCTCAAATATATATTAAATTAATATTATAATATATTAGCATATTGTGCATATTTAGGCACTGGTTAGGTTAGGTGTTTAGGTTCTAGTTGGTGATTATTTGTATTTGTAGTACGTGGGTGAAGCATTTACAGCGTTGTGGTTCGAACAAAAGTCGTCAGTGAAGCACTTGTTCCGGAAGTGTTCGAACGTCATCAGTTGTGAGTCGTGTGTAAACCGTTTTTTATTTATAAACAGGGGGTTTGGCGGGTGCATGGAATGGACTTTTGGGTCTTTGTTTGGAGGACGGGCTGTTACACACGATTCCAACCCGTCCTCGACTCAAGTCCATTACATCCAGCGGTCGACCCCACAGACGCATTCATAAATTTTAACATGCTGTTCATTCAAAACGGGAATTTTCTCAAGTATAAATTAATATTATAATATATTAGCATATTGTGTATATATAGGCATAGGTTAGGTTAGGTTAGGTGTTTAGGTTCTGTTGGCGATTATTTTTATTTGTAGTACGTGGGTGAAGCATTTATAGCGTTGTGATTCGAACAAAATTCGTCAGTGAAGCACTTGTTCCGGATATGTTCGAACGTCAGCAGTTGTGAGTCGTGTGTAAACGGCTTTTCATTCATAAACAGGGGGTTTGGCGGGTGCATGGAATCACTTTTGGATCTTTGTTTGGAGGACGGGCTGAAGCATTTATAGCGTTGATTCGAACAAAATTCGTCAGTGAAGCACTTGTTCCGGATATGTTCGAACTTCAGCAGTTGTGAGTCGTGTGTAAATCGCTTTTCATTCATAAACAGGGGGTTCGGCGGGTGCATGGAATCACTTTTGGATCTTTGTTTGGAGGACGGGCTGCACGATTCACAACTGAAGACGTTCGAACACCTCGGAACAAGTGCTTCACTGACGACTTTTGTTCGAACCACAAAGCTGTAAATGTTTCACCCACGTACTACAAATACAAATAATCGACAACGGAACCTTAACACCTAACCTAACCAGTGCCTAAATATGCACAATATGCTCATATATAATAATATTCATTTTATATTTGAGAAAAGTTCCGTTTTGAATGAACAAAATGTTAAAATTGATGAATGCGTCTTTGGGGTTGACCGCTGGATGGAATGGACTTTGTCAGTGGACGGGTTGTACACACACAACAGGATCGTGCCACGGAGGACGCGGGAGGCCTCCGTTGGCCTTACCTCTGAACCAGCACCTGTTGTGGACGAAGTCAGGCTTCAGGAGACCATCGATATGGTGCGGGAGAGAGTGGATGACGACGGCCACTCCGCCTATGACCAGCGGCGCCCCCCACGCGTACACGGCGTAAGCGAAGAAGCGACGGAAGTCATCTTGTGAGTGATACAAGGGCACCGCCTGGACCGTCAGCCTGTCCGAGGGAGATTACTTAATCCCAGATGAGATTTCACACTCAGATATTCTTGTCAACCCCAACTGGAGTTGACTAAAAACACCTAACCTAATACTCACAGAAATCACAATAACGTGATACATCAAATGAACAAATCCACAAGGGCTGTGAAGATGGGTTAGGGTTGGACTAACCTGTCCTTATACACAGAACGTCGCTTTTCACTCGTATGCGTTAAACAAGGTCAAAAATTGTACTAGAAAATAGAAGCGGCTCTCGAAAGTGAAGTACTGTCCCGTTTTCTGTTTTGGGTCCTCTGGTAGGTTAGGAGAGGACACTTTAAATTGACCGTTTTCTTGACGTCGGGAAACCTTAGGACGGACGGGCTGGTTGGATGCAGTTTAGAAAAGTATAGCTGAGAATGGGATGTATATAGAGTAATCATGTTTGGAACTTATAAGTGCATTTTAATATATATATATATATATATATATATATATATATATATATATATATATATATATATATATATATATATATATATATAAGAGGTAAAAATAATATCCTAATACTGATCAACATAATTATATATTATATACTGTATTAAAAAATGGATAAGGCCTAATTTATGATGGCCTATGAAATTAGGCCGTCATTTTAATGAAAATGAAAAATGAATTGCCGTCATTTTAATGAAATTAAAGCCTAGTGAACTAAATCTTAATTTTTTTATTATAACGTTTTAATAGATATATTATAAAAAAGAAAATATAACAATAACTTATTTAAAAACATAAAATCAGTAAGACGATTTGTAAAATTGACACCCTTAAATATAACCTGCAATTTACACAACCTCTCCATTTTATATAAATATTCACTTTTCAAAAGCAGCTCGTATATCAGGGATCTGATTTCAGCAAGCTTTAAACTGATTGGCAATAAGTCTTCTCTTTGTGACAGTAATTCCTTAATGCCAAGTATCCAGCTTGGTGTCTTCCCTCCGACTAGTTGGTTCTATTCCATACTGGCGACCAACTAAATCATTTTATGCATCACTTGTTCTGAGGTTGTATTTTCTCCTAACCAGTTTAATATTTCTGGCAAAGTTTGAGTGACCAGCGATTAGCGAATGCTAGAAAAAAGTTTATGGTGTTCGCTGGATGAGTTATTCCCATCAGACAAAAGAATATTATTCGTTTGTGAAATTATTTCAACATGTGCATGTGTGGATATGGGGGTCAGGTAGGATAGTTTAATGAGTTCGAGGTTGGACACCTAAGATCGTCTTGGGCTGTTTTAAGAAGTATGCCGCGAACATTTATTTATATTTATATATACAAGAGTTCCTACAGTCTTGTACAGCCACTATCACGCATAGCGTTTCGGGCAAGTTATAAGGAGTATGAAAAGCAAATTGGCTACTGCATGCATTGAAATTGGGCTTTTTATTTTAAAAAACGAGTTGGCCGACTTCGTGAACACAAATCGCCACATGCATTTTAGGTTGAGAATGTTCTTGAACAGTGTCCATGACATTTATAGTTCATGCGATGAGTGTTTCCGTGTCTTAAATTACACAAAACTCTCACACGGATATACATACATAGAGTTGTACCTCGCTCTTCGGTGTAAATATGAGTTCGCTTTAGTCCTGAACAAGTATATACTTGCTGATTGACGAACAAGTTACTGTCGCAGTCTTATTAACCCTCCAGCAGTTGATAGGCTTCAAACACATCACCAAAGAACTCTGCACTTACCCTACATACCTCCACACGTCGTAGCAGATGACGTTAAGCCAGAAGAAGGTGGAGAGGAATGCAACGTGCAGGATAACAGCTGTGGAAGAGTCCCGCAACGTGTCACACATCACTTGGTAACATTTCACTGGTAACAACTGCCTCCTCGTAACTTAAACTAAACTGAACTTCAGCGTTTAATGGTGCTTTAAAACACAAGAATTGTGCGAAATAATGTTCAAATATATGTCATTGTTAAGGTGCGTGTTCAGTGGGGGATGTGAAAACTGGCCTCACCCACGGAGACGCAGGCTGAAGGAGACAGGAACTGGGAGAACGCTTGCGTCACAAACAGTGTGGCGTCGGCCACCAGCAGGGCGGCCACGTAGGCTGCGAGGCAGAGGCCGTGCAAGTCCCTGAGGGCCGCCACGCACAAGTGACACAGCAGCGTCGCCGCCAGGAACACACACGACACCATCAATCCCGCCGGGATCAGAACACTGCGCACCACCTGACAACAGGAAATGTCCAGTTCTAAGTAAACCTAAACCTTCTGTTGAGGGTCGAACTTGTGACCCTCCCCAGACAACCCGTCCTCAGACTAAGTCCATTCCATCCAGCGGTCGACCCCACAGACGCACTCATATATTTTAACATGCTGTTCATTCAAAACAGGAATTTTTTCAAATATAAATTTATATTATTTTATATTACCATAGTGTACATATCTAGGCACTGGTTATGTTAGGTTAGGTGCCTAGGTTCTGTTGGTGATTGTTACGACCCTGGGTTCCTTAGTTGGAAACCAGAGGTCAAATTGAGCTCTAAATAATTTACTTTACATTAATTGGTAGGACTGCTGATGCGTGTTTGTTCCTATCTTCCTTTCCAGACGTAAGACGAATCTTGTTTCTCACAGAGCATTCAGACTCTGAGCTTGTTGTCGATTATTAAACACTTAACTAATTATCAACTAGTCTTAGAACTATTAAAGTAACCAGTTTTGTACGTCGGTGAAGATTTGTAATGTTTATAAGCTGCACGATCAGCTGGTTATTTCCCGGCAACAACAACTGGAGAGAGCTCGGACTGGAGGCTCCTTCGGTCTGGTCTGGATTGCTGTGGTTGAGTCAACACCTCTCCTGTGTTGCTCTGTCTCCTCCTCCTCTTTCTCCTCCTCTTTCTCCTCCTCTTCCCTTACCTTATCCTGTGTCTAGTTTACAAAGCTAAGTACCGTGTTGCATGTATGTTTTCTGGCATAAGTGTGTAGTAATGTGTATAGGCTACGCTAGTGTTTATATTGCTAAGTTACTCTAAGGGGTCTCAGTGGAACCACGTGTGCTTAAGTGGTACCAAGCTACCTAGAGTCCTTGCTAGTGTCCCTTGCCTAGTAGACTTTACCCTAGCTTGTCCTAATTGTAAAACCTTGTATCCTGCCTATGTGGACCAAGGCTTTTAACGTAAGATAGTGTGGTAAAGTAGTTATTGTTGTTAATGTATATGGAGGGGAGGGGGGTTTTTAAGAGGGTTTAATAAATAAGTTAGTTTTAATGGAGTATCCATTCTTCCTGTGTAGGAGAGCAGTGATCAACCTCTAGGCTGACGTATTTACTTTAAGCCACTACTTTAATATGGTTTTATGTTCTTACTGGGGACCGGGCCTATCTGATCTCTAATTTTGATACCTCCTGATTCCAGCTGTTGGCCCTTCACTTTAATACTCCATATCCCCCATAACAAGTAGCAAATTCTTAACAGTGATTATTTGTATTTATAGTACGTGAGTGAAGCATTTACAGCGTTGTGGTTCGAACAAAAGTCGTCAGTGAAGCACTTGTTCCGGAAGTGTTCGAACGTCATCAATTATGAGTCGTGTGTAAACCGTTTTTCATTCATAAACAGCGGGTTTGGCGGATGCATTGAATGGACTTTGGTCTTTGTTTATGAGAACAGACTGCCCCAGAAGGGTCAGTAGTTCAACCCACAACAGTTGACTAACTCCCAGGTACCTGTTTGAACAGGTAACCTAGGTGAACAGAGGCAATTAAGTGAAAAGGTCGACCCTAAATGGCTGCGCCATTGAAGTGAATGGGAGTGCAGGTCGACCCACACAAGTGTCAGCATGTATCATTTGTCAATAGCTGCAAGTTTACTTACAGCTATTGACAAATGATCTGGCCAGTGCTAGAGTCGGCATGGAGTTCATTATGGAACCATGCTGCATTGTACCGAGTTCAATGGTGCTGACCCCGACCTGCCCATATTGACATTTATTGAGAAACATTTTATTTTAAAGATATATTTTGAGAATAATAATTTAAAATGCACATAATAGATTTAATTTGTAGAGTCGGTTTTCTAAGCAATATCTGGTGTTACCTTACCGTCCATGTAGTCTGCTGTGTCGGTGGCTGTGTCGGACACAAGAGTACAATCATCCCAGTAGTCAGGCTCTCGCCTCCCACCTCCAAGTATTCATCAATGCAGTAGTCTAGGATCCGGCTCTCTGTTGCCAGTGAGCCGTTGACAAGCAACATAGAAGTGTTCAGATATCTGGTATATGTGGACTGTGTAGGGATGGCCTCAGTGTCGCCACAGTGTGGAAACCCAATCTGCACCTGCCTCTCTGTGTCTTCTCCCCCTGATGCTTGATTACGTAACTTCCAAAACTTGTAGAAAACCACTGGCAAAGGTAATGCCATTTCCTGATACACGCAAGAATTGTTTTCAAGAACATGGCCCCCGGGACAGCACTTTTTCATGCAGGAGTGCTGCGTGCAGCGGTCAGTCACGATCACTGGGGGACATGTGCTGCAAAACACAGCCCGAAAATTACATTTCTCTTCCATAACACCTTCAACACAGAAATTTTGTATCTGCGCTCCATCCAGCGAAAAATACAACGTTTCATCTTCGTACACAATTTTCCTGGTTGGGTTGAAGGCGACCTTAACGAGACATTCGGGTGGACACGTATTATTGACCATAAAAACACCAGCAAATGGAATTACCTCCGGTTCGACACATCCATCAAAAGTGAAGGGGGGCGGTGACACCTCGAGGATCTGAGGAACAAATATGTTTTTGTCGAGGGTGTGCAGGTGACACAGAGGAATCCTTGGAGCCAACACCTCGAGCGTCGTGTTGTGAGGAGGTCCTGTTGTACTCTTGGGAGTAACAGACGAGCCGACCTCTTCACTACCCCTACAAGAATGATTCTTCAGTTCGGACTCGGTAACATGTTCATCAGCCGGGAGATAGAACGTTTGGTTTCCGCTGTATTTAATAACATCGACAGATAAAATACGGTTGGCTGCAGTTCTATTGAGAATTTTGTTGTCAAAGTTGAAGATATTTGTATGATTTTTATCTTTATCAACAAACTTGAGTCCAGCCCTGTCTTCGACAACTGGCGTGATATCCGCTCGAGACACACTTGGCCTAACATCTCGTGCCGAACTGGACACACTTATAATCCTGGCTTTAATATTCTCGAGAGCGTGCCCTAAAGAGTACAATGTATGATCAGAACTTAGACCGTCTTCTCTGCCATTTAATAATAGTGTTTTATAACTCGACGTTTCCCAATTGGTGGTTTTTATCGTGTGAAGCGATTTTCCTGAGGTATCTATAGCCGCTGATGAGGTGATGTCTTCATACACAGGTACTTTAGTAATAGTCTTCGAGCGATTAGAGGAAGGTGGGTGGCTTGTTTCAAGAGAGGTAGTGGAGGGCGTATGTAGTCTCGTGGGCGTTGTGGAGGATGTATGTAATCTAGTGGGCGTTGTGAAGGACGTACGTAATATCGTGAGGGTAGTGGAGGGCGTATGTAATCTCGAAGGAGTATTGGAGGGCGTGTATATACTCGCAGGCATAGTGGAGGGCGTGTGTATCCTCATGGGCGTAGTAAAGAGACCGTGGGCAGGCGAGGGCTCCCCCAAGGTAAGGGCTATCACCGCCAGCCAGCAGGTTCCCGTCATGGTCTGGTGGTGACGCTGCTCTCGCCAGGGCCTCTCATCCTCCACTCCTGCAGGTGACGACAAACGTTTACAACACATTAACATACCAGATCCATCACATATCTCGAGATATTAACCACCATTTCCCTGATTAAGAAATTATAATAATAGAACAAAATAAGAAAAACAGTTTAAATTGTATAAAGTGCAGGTTTCAGACAGTTCATGAGACTCAACCCGTCCTCAGACCATGTCTATTCCATCCAGCGGTCGACCCCCAAAGACGCATTCATAAATTTTAAAATGCTGTTCATTCAAAACTGGAATTTTCTCAAATATAAATTAATATTATATATTAGCATGTTGTGCATATATAGGCATTGGTTAGGTTCTGCTGCATGTATTTGTACTACGTGGGTGCTTCATCCACGTACTACGTAATCGCCTACAGAACCTAAACACCTAACCTAACCAGTGCCTAAATATGCACAGTATGCTAAATATAAAACAATATTAACTTATATTTAAGTTAATATATATAAAACAATATTAACTTATATTTAAGTTAGTATTGTTTAATATTAGCATACTGTGCATATTTAGGCACTGGTTAGGTTAGGTGTTTAGGTTCTGTAGGCGATTACGTAGTACGTGGATGAAGCACCCACTGTGGGGAAAAACCTGACTCCAATAACTAATAATTAAATATTATTACTTCGATAGCTATGAAGGACCACCACCTTTTGAGAAAAAGTGGAAAACAAAATAAGACAATGGAAAAACTGATCCCAAGAACTAGTGTCCTATGGATCTTAGTGAAACTGTATTTCTTATATAAATGGAGTCAAATTAACCTACACAAAATTGGGGGGTTACATGCTAAAAGATTAATACATCCCTAGCATTATTCTGGTGCTGGTTCTTCACCAGAGTAAATAAAATATGAAAATAAATAAGGTTAATTATAATAGATTAATTGGAGGTAAATACACCTCAATATACTGCTGGATAGAATAGTACAGTATATATAGATCAATGGGTTAATATAATAGATCTCTTTGGGAGATCACTACTGTAACTACCGAGTCATTGCTACAGATAAAAAGGGGACAGCTTAGCTGTAAATCTAGAGAGGTGTAATCGGTTGCCACGCTGTAACACTGTAAGGTGTTTGGTTTAGTTTAATACATACTTAGAGTACATGAGTCACAGACAAGGATCTGAGAGGCGCCAGTTGTCTGCCTGAGATCTCACACCTCAAAGCGTTAATGACCTCAAGTGACCTGAGGTCAGATCATGAGAATTTCACCTTGCTTCCGCTAAGCTCTTAATTGTAGTCTGGTAGCCTTCAAACAAGCCGACGTTTAAGGAGTGGCTTGGTAGTGCCGGAGGCTATCTACTTGTGGGCGGAGTTAGCTACTAGGTTCCCCAATATAAACTCGGAGAGCTATCCAGCATGAAGCATTAACAGACAGAACAACAGAAGACAGCAGAGCAGACGGCCCTAGCAGGGAGGCTGTCGGCCGGCAGGGCGGGAGTCTCCGTCAACTACAGACCCCCCCCCTCTCTATCCAGCTATAGGCAGAGACACTTGATGAGTTGAGCAGTAAGGTGACTTGGTCGTGTTTACATATGTTGTGTGATGATCAGGGGCAGTCAAGTTGTAGGGTTCTCGAATTCTTGGATGATGACTCACTTTGCATATTAAACTGGAACATTTTAATTGAATTGCTAAATTATGATACTTCATGGGAAATATAATTATGAATTTATTATTTAAATTGTGTTTAACTTTGTTCCCTAGAGATTTGAGTTGAGGTGAGAAAGCCTCTGTGGTTACTGGTTTCATGATATTAACGAGTACATGTTTGGAGTTGATACATGGTAATAACATCTTTTGAGAATATTTTGATACAGACAAGTTCCATTCCTTGTCTTGTATGTAATGATCATGAATGGATGGTGGCAGCATTTCGTCTTCTACTATCTACTTTCTACGTCTACTATCTACTCTTCTACTTCTACTATCTACTCTTCTACTTCTACCTATCTACACCTCTCCCTCCACCCCCTCTCTAAACTCTCACTTTCAGCTAATGACCCTCCTCGCTCCTCCCACCTCTCTACCTCTCACCCCAAACCCTCACTAATTACTTCACTATTCATTTCTTTCCTTTCGTTTTCTCGTATACGTTTGTGGCAATGATTCAGTATTCTAGAGTTCTCTCTAGAGTTTCGGGTAGTTGATCAAGTAACGGCACCTTGTAGTCTTAGCACCTAGGTAGTCAAATACCTAGGGTACAAGGTGTTGAACGAGAGAGGTTGCCTTAGGAACTCTGGGAGTGCTCTAGAATAGTTAGCTAACTGGGGACGGGATAACGGACTAGAGAGAGCTGTTTCCCCCGGCCTCGTTAGTTAACTGGGGGGTGGAATAATGGACAAGATAGAGCTATTTCCCCCACCCCCCGTTACAATGGTGGCAGCGGTGTTGAACAATGTTGTAGGTAGTTGGTGTTCTTTTGAACATTGTTCAGTCCTACGTGTCTTTTTTGCCGCTCAGGCGCTATCAGGGAGATCTTGACAGGTGTTTAATATTCGCGATTTAGCGAGCTTTGTTCAGGTTAGGAGATGGTGATTCTCTGGTGTTGTGTTTAGTGATTTTGTGAGTTTTGTGGTATTCAGGGAATGTTCACCAGAACTTGCGTGTGTAGTGTTTTATGTTAGTAATAAGATTTGGTGATTTGGGGAACTTAGCGGTGTTGGTAGTGCAGGTCAGCTGAGTGTGACAGGTGACCTCGCATGTCCCACGGGGACACCCAGCCACCGCTGGTCTCCAGGTCAGTGGGGAGTGGCAGGTGTAGTTTTTAAGTAGTGGTTCTGCTCAGATTATTGCGATCGACTGTTTACTCCATTTGAACGCAATAACCCGAGGTGTACTGGTATTGTACAGCATGCTAGGGGGAGGCTTAGTATGTCAGTAGACTTCACGTTGGGGACGCTCGACGTTAGATAGTCTGGTCACAGGAGTGGCAACAGTTTTGAGTTGTTGACCGGCGGAGATGCTAGGGAGACACTCTGGGTCACGTAGGTGGCTGTAGGTTAAGGGTGGGAGTAACGGTTAATTATGTACTTAAGATTAGGAACGGTACAGTTAAGTTAGGCTAGCGTTTTGTCTATTAGTGTTGATTTTTTTTGTGTGTGACAAGTTAAAAGTAGTGATGACCTTATTCTCTCTTCTCTAACTTTCCTCTGTTACTGTTTTATGTTCCACCAAGTCAATATCATTCAGAGTTAATTGGATTATTAAAATTTAAGTGTAGTTGTTGCCAGGAGGAGAGCTTATAATTGGACTGTGTGAACCCTATACAAACTAGAGGGTCACACAACAAGATGGAACACGGGTATTGTCGCCTTTATGTTCACCCACAGGTGGGAGCCAGAAGAGAGGAGAGACGCACATACAGAAGAGGGAGACGGCTGCTGTGTACCATACTCACGGGCGTTTATCACCACCACCACGACCAGCCCACTACCTGGAGGTCATGGTTTCACCACCACCACCACCCCAGGGGACCCCAAGATGCAGCCCTCTCGGTCGGTCAACATTGGTCTACCCATTGGACCCCAAGACGGACGGACCCCAGGACGGACGGACCCCAATGGACCCCAGGTCGTTCTGCAGACGTACCCAGACGACCCAGTAAAGATGGAAGAGGAGCAACAACGACTCCAGTCTGTCCCACCAACATCGGTCTACCCAGGATGGACCCCAGGACGGACGGACCCCAATGGACCCCAGGTCGCTTGTCAAAGACCCATGGGATGAGGAAGAGAGAAGAAAGAAGAGAGAAGAAAGAAGAGAGAAGAAAGAAGAGAAGATAAGACAAGCTGAGTGAGACATGATACCTAGTGTCCCTTGCTGGTGTCAGCATCATTGCATGGAGCGTAATTGCAAGACAGGATCGTTTGCCTTGACTGGCCGCCCCTCCTACAAGCATGTTGCTCTGTTGAGTGATTCTTCCTGTGTCATGCGGACTTGATGTGGCTGTCAGAAGTAGCTCTCTGAAGGAGGCGTGCTGGAGCAACAGGGAGGAAGAAGTGTAGGATGGGATTTCTACTGTTGGCAACTATATGAAGGTCTCGAAACTTGTAGTCCCTATAGCTGTGAAGAACCCCAATATACGTCTCTCATGGTGACTGACGTAGGGCCAATTACAGATCAGCTGGGACAACCGAATTCCACGGTCCTGTGCGCAGTTCAGGTAGTAACGGCTTTCGGGTTGACCAAGTGTTGTTGTGCGTTAACGACGGAGAAGCGACGGAGGCAGTTGTGTTGAAGAAATGTGGTACAGGATTATCTACAAGACCAAGCAGTGACGTCGCCCAGCCAGAGACAATGGACGTCTGTCTATATATTTCATTTTTTAGAGTAGGATGATGTATATTTGTTTAGCTAGGATGTATTTTTTTTTTTCGTTAATAAAGTTGTTGCACACAGCTAGCTTGCTTTAGCAGTGTTGCAAAAACTTTATTTCGGGGAGAAGGGGAGATGTAACACTGTAAGGTGTTTGGTTTAGTTTAATACATACTTAGAGTACATGAGTCACAGACAAGGATCTGAGAGGCGCCAGTTGTCTGCCTGAGATCTCACACCTCAAAGCGTTAATGACCTCAAGTGACCTGAGGTCAGATCATGAGAATTTCACCTTGCTTCCGCTAAGCTCTTAATTGTAGTCTGGTAGCCTTCAAACAAGCCGACGTTTAAGGAGTGGCTTGGTAGTGCCGGAGGCTATCTACTTGTGGGCGGAGTTAGCTACTAGGTTCCCCAATATAAACTCGGAGAGCTATCCAGCATGAAGCATTAACAGACAGAACAACAGAAGACAGCAGAGCAGACGGCCCTAGCAGGGAGGCTGTCGGCCGGCAGGGCGGGAGTCTCCGTCAACTACAGACCCCCCCCCCTCTCTATCCAGCTATAGGCAGAGACACTTGATGAGTTGAGCAGTAAGGTGACTTGGTCGTGTTTACATATGTTGTGTGATGATCAGGGGCAGTCAAGTTG